TATAATAATAATAATAAAATAAAAAATAAAGTGTAAAAAAAATAGAAATGTCGATTGATTAAGTGAAAGGATTAATTAGAATTGGTAATTTTTAAAAGCAGTTCGCTAGAATATGTGAAACGGTGAACCAGGAACCATCCTCGGTTCTAATTTCAATTCACCTGACTTTTTGCCCATGTTCCTTATTTTTATAAACTCATTCCACGGACGTCCGTCGTAATCATCGCTCTTCATAACTGTTGTGATCAGTTTAAAGCCGTTGACGACCAGCACTTTATCGTTGCCGAGATGCACAGATATAACATCGCTATCGTATCGTTTTCCTAATTCCATGAAAACCGCGTGCTGTGCACCGAGCTCACGTTTCAAACGTTTCAACAAGATCTGATTACCGAAAAATGGCCACGGGATCGGTCCTGAAAAGACAGTGACAATTTTTTTATACACGTTAAAATAGTTTTCAGGAATAGATCATGAGATTGAAATAATATTCTGTGTAGCTGTTTGTACAAGAATAAAATCATGCCCTAGATTTTCTATCGAATTAAAGGAGTGTGCCATAGAAAGAACACAATGTGTAGGTACTAATTTAATCTGGTTCAGTGACCGTGTCAAATTGATCATTGCCCGTCCGCAAGAGTATTCGTCGTTGCCGGTCCCATTCGATCATACTATTCTTTCATTTCAGATAATAATCAATGCACAGAATTCTGTAGAAATTCGAATGAAAAATGAAAATAAATGTCCGTTACCTGGCGGATCTTTTTTCGACTTTTGTCCTAGTAGCAAGGATATAGAGAATAAAATCAGCGTGAGCAACACCAAAAGCACGGTGGCGAACATCGCGTGTCGAAGTTTTAACAAACGATGAAAGGATAACTATTAGCCGTGAACGGTATACCGTCCTATTCGAATTCCCAGTTGACGACCAATGTATCAAGTGGATTCTCACGTTCCAATCGACGTTTCGGCTTCTTATGGCTAACTATGTACCACCGATAACGACACGCTCCCCGATAAGACCGGACGCTACCAACAAGTGACTAAACCCCCCTATTTACGAGCATGTCAAAATTGAAAAGAATAGGAGGTGCGGGCGGTGATCACGAAGATATATATAGTTAGACAAATTTTCTTGGCTGGCAGGGACGCGTGCTATCACGTAACCCGTGTATAACAGAGTTCAGTTCACAATGCCTGCCACTCATCGCATTTGCACACGTAACCCCCGCTTTTAATCCCCCGATTCTTCCGAGGACATGAAGTGTCAATAAATCTTTAAAGTAAAATCCTTGAGGGTAAACGATAGCGACTGATAACGTTCGCATTTAAATAAATTAAAATGCATTTTCCTTAGGAATTAAATAAGTTCCTGTTAAGATAATCTCTTTCTAATCGCAATTTGGATTTAATTAGCTTCCGTAATGAATTTCGCCTTTTGGCAAATATAAGAATGTTCAAAACAAGATTAAGATCAACCTTGGGTAATAGCGACAATTTTTGTTTTATATTACTCTCATTTATTTATTTGCTTTGTAATTAGGCAGACGTATGTACATATATACATGTTGTTAATAAGAAATCTATATACATAATAATAGTATCAAAACATGATGCGTCACGTGGATGACTACACAATATACATTTATTACATTTTCAAAGATACTGTCAACATGTCAGTTAGCATTTCCTTGAACAACTGTTTAACATCGTACAGTAATTTTATATAACATCTAGGTCAACTTCTTTCCTTGGCCTTTTCCTCATTACTTTTTTCCCTCGAACGGTGTCCAATTTTCGTTTCCTAGATTCCTTCTTCTTCTGCTGCTTTGCGATTTTCCGTTTCGCAGCCAGTTCCGGATCTGTTACGAACTGCAAAAACAGCAAATATTTAATGCATGATACACTAAGAAAAAATCGTAATGTGTACCTGTTGCGCTCGCATTTTTCTTCTCTCAGCTTTCTTAATGTCCAAATTCCGTTGAACTTGACTCAACAGTCTGGTGTACTCTTCGGTATCTAACCGCCTCTTGATCATCGTAGCTGCCTCTTTGGCTAAACGTCGTAAATGTGAATTTGTTTCTTCTGTGCTTGACATCTCTCGCACGATGGGTGACATAATATTGAGAAGTATTTCTTTCAAGTGTGACATTGGTATCGTGGCTACTGCGCCAGCGACCCATTTAAAATAAGCAGTCCTCTGAAAGTCATTTATAATTAACAATTGTCAATTATTCTAAAATAATAAATAATTGTAGATACTGTACCACAGATATAGATTTGGGTGCTTGAGCTAGTTCTACGTTTACAGATTTCCTGAGTCTTCTGACTAGCCAGGAAAGAGATAACTGGTCCTTATCTTTATCGTCTTGCTCGTCCATGGAATTAATTGTCTTCACGGATTTCAAAATTCTCGCGATAAATATTAAATTTTTTACGGTCTGATCAGCCAAGTCTTCTAATATCATATCGGGCTGTAGTTGTGCAATCAAATCTAGAGTCAAGCTTCTAATAATAGTAGCTGGGTCCGAGTACATGTAACTTATTTCCTCTTCGCGTTTCTCAGGATTCTCCAAAATATTCACAATCTTATCGACGTCGTGAGCAGCCAAGATGAAACCGATCATCTGACACGCTGCTAAGCGAACCCATACGTGGGGATGCGCCAGCAAAGATTGACTGTGTTCTGAAATAAATTCCATTAGGGTTAAACAAGAATCTTGAAATAATAATTATACGGTAATTTGTTGTATTTACCAGCGAAGGAACGAACGGAGTCCCTGTACTCCTCGTTCTTGAGGAATGGCGCGCAATTCGCAGATATCTTTAATAATAATTGAAGTACTTGGAACATATGATGATCCTTCATCCTTTCAACATCTTTCACCTTTCCGCTCATCTCTAATTGTTCATCCTGTTCCGTGTGCAATTTCACGAAGCGACCAGGCTTCTCGTCGTCAAAGCTCGCGTGGAACTGCTTTAAAAGCAGGGGCAGTATTTCCTTCAAACGAGATTCGAAGGCATCGTTCTCCACAGTTACAAATAAACCGCACAACTGCGCAGCCAGAGTCCGATGCATTACCTAAAATAACATACAAATAGCAACGTGCATTAAGTCCGAAAACAGAGTTTACACATTTATAGAAAAATTGTACATACCTTGGCGTCTTCTAACAAGGCTACGACTATTTCGAAAAGTTTTCTCCGCTTATTATGTGGAACGCGTGCGATCATTTCTTTAAGACACTTGGCACATAATTTGCGGCAGGTCGGGTCATCATCGTTTATCAATCTCGTGCTAGCCATCGTAAATATCAAATCTGATTTTAAGATCAACGCTTTCTGAAATGAAAATCGTTGGATAAGCTTGAAGCGTTTTACATGACTTAGTAACAGTTAAATGTATACCAGTGGAAATCCTGTGACGATACTGTGAAGCATTTCCAAGGCGCTGAGTCGACCTGGTTGCATCTCGTAATTAAGCTGCGTCAAATAGAACATTATATTCTTGGTCAAATGTTTACCCAGAGGGTATTCCATCAAGTAAGAGTAAAACACGGAACGAGCTTGCACTCTGACGTGTTCTAGTTCTGACGTGATGCTCAGGGTAGCAACTTTTTCCATGACGAGATACATTTCCGGGAATACAATCTTGCGGGAGATTATTGCTTTTAGTAAACCGAAGGCCGTCGCCTGTTTCTCACTGTTGTGCATATCCTGTTCGGCATACATGATCAGGACTTTCAACTGATTTGTAGTGATCGTATAGTGTTTCACATCACGAACGATTACAGCCATGCACTTGAACCCTGCCATCACGAGATCAAAGTTCTCCCCTTTACTCAAACCAGCCGCGGCATATTTGTGCAACAAACTGAAGATAGATGAACAAATATCGGAGATTGTATCTTGTATTGAAATTAAATCCATTCTCGTTAACCAGCTTAAACATTGCAAGCCTAAAGTGCTCAGCTGAAAATAAGTGCAAGTCAGATCTTGGTCATAATTAATTAAGCTCGGTTATAATTAATTCGGTTATTATTAACTCGGTTATAATTGTTACAAACCTTGACGTGTTGCGATTTCAAGCATTCGCTTATGACCGGTACAAACGGGTCTATGAAAGGCTTGAAGCTCGCGTTCGATATCTTGTCTCTTTTTAACAGAATATGGAAGAGCTTCAAGCCGAATTCTGTGATCACATGGGCATTCGTGTTCTTCGATGTCTTCGCACCGGCTTTTATCCCCATTCTGGTCTTCGGTTCTGGAGGTATGATGAAGCAATCCGGTTTCTGTCTAATCAGTACCTCTGCTTTCTCTGTGACTTCCTTGCCTTTTCTCTCAGGCATAAGTTCCGGTATGCTTTCGGAAATCACACCGTAAAGAAATATCAACATCTGTTCCAATGGTATGAAAGAGTTATCTGCTAAACCCAAAACTATGTTTCTCAGACACTCTGATACTTTCAGTACAGTCTTGTGCGAGTGTGTCTTTGCAAGCACTTCTTTCAAAGGTAGAATTAAATCCACCAAACAAGTTTCGGTAATGTACTGAGATAATATATGAAATATATCAAAGCTCTTCGTGGATTTTGCTTCGGAAACGTTCTTCACGATTCCTAATACTTCTTTCTCTTCTGCTGTTACTCCGAATAAATCCACTTTACAAACCTAACGAATTAAAGCAAATTAACTTAATATGAAATTATTATTTTATTTATAATTACTTACCGATAAGATGCTTTGAAGGTTTTCATTAATGTCGAATTTCTGAAAGTGCGGTTTTAAAGCAGATAATACTGATTGCACCGTGAATGCAAGAACGTGGACTTGAAAACCTCTCGTTAATAAAGTGTTCATCTCTCTTAAAAGATGGTGAAGATACTTCGGGCCTAGAGTTATCATGATCTTTTGCAATATCTCGCGGGTAGCTCGCCGTACCGATTCCAAACGAGACTTCAAGAACGTGCATAATTTCATAAAGATTCTGAAACGATTATATTATCAGTAATGATTGTTAATTAATTTAGCGTTAAGATCTACTTACCCTGGTAAATTGACGTCTAAAATGCGGTCAGGTAGTTTCTGCAGCAATTTGACGAAAGCTAATGCGATAGGCACGCGCATCAACTCTTCTTCCTCGTTATCAATGGCGACTCTCTTTTTGTTTAATTTGTGGCTGTTTTCGTGGCTCGTTCTCGCTATAATAGACCGATGCAGTTGAGGCAGCAATTCTTTCGATATACTGAAAATTACTTTCTTTGCTCCACTCTCTGAAAGGACTATCTGTTTTTCTACCGCGACCAGTTCTTCCTGTTTCTCAGTTTTCTCCGTTTCTTCGATGTTATCAATGATCTCAGAGTTCAAAGCTTCTTGCAAGTTTTCTTCTATTTCCAGTTCGGTCTTATCATTATTTTCTTCGTCGGCCTTCCCATCTTCTTCCTTCTGTTCAGTTTCTTTAACTTTTTCTACGATTCGTAATTCTTCTACCGGCTTGTACTTTGACAAATCGAAGTGGAAAGAGTCTAAGATAATAACAATTATTCTAACAAGTTGCCTTTGATATAAAACCGAGCCTTTCAATTTATCCAAATAATGCTTCAAAATGATTTCGTATTGATGCCAGGGTAACAATTTGCAAACAGAGCCTATGCTTTCGATTGCAGCGTCGACGATACTATTTTTCTGCATGTAAGATTCATTGCACAAGAACGAGGAAGCTAACGGGAGGACGAACTGCGTTAAGGTTCTCGGGTTAGGCGCTTTCTTCAAAGTTTTAGCTACGTTGCAAAATTTCAACAGAGCCCTCGCCCTCCTGTGCAACTGCAAGTGCTGCATGTTTTCAAAGAAGTCGACCTCGGGATCCAGTTTATTTGTTAATGAGTTCAAATCTCTTAAAATTGGATGAACTTCTGGACATTCCATAGCCATATACCCTAGGAAAGATATCGACTGAAATTTCACCTGTTCGTTCTTGCTTGTAATTCCTCTCCTTATCAGTGGCAAGATTGTATCGTCCATTAAATAACGTCTGTCTCCTGTGCTCCCTTTATACTCCTTCGCTAACTTGCTGCTAAGAACTTTTATGCACAATCCTGCGTTATCTCTCAGTGCCAAGTCTCCTTCATTTTTAAGGAAGTAATAACAATTGTGAATAATAGCCACGCCAAACTCTAACGTAATCTCGTTTTTGTCTATGGCATTGTTAATACTAGAAAATGCGTCTAATCTTTTCTGAAAATCCGGTTGGCTTATCCACCTCCAATCCCACGCGTTCAACGCAATTAACAATTCATGATTTTTCATAAACATCTCTCGAGATTCTTCAGGAGCTCGTTGAACGATAGTTTTATAAAGTTCTAGGAGAAGTTTCCGATCAGGAACGGCTGTCACAGTGCCCAGCAGAGGTAGCATCGCACGCATGTGTATCGTGGGATTCTTTACTTGTTTCACAAGATGTATCACAGTTTCAATCAATTCTGTAATGATCTCGCTCTCTCCGGCTCTAGTCTTCTTAATTAGTATAGGTAATGAAAGACTAAGAAGCGCGTCGGATGCACCGCTGTCATTTACAAATTCAGAGAAGCGTGATAAAATCAGTAATTCAACTTTGCCTATACCTCTGTGAGATTTCGCCAGTCTATGTTTAATAAATTCTAATACACTGGGCACGTGAGGGATGAGTATAGTAGATCCGTAATTGACGCCTTCACGTAGAGCTTTTTCATTTACTTCTAACAAATTATTGAGTATAGGTATCAAAGGCACAATGGGCGTATCAACTTCCATGTCATCTTCGTTTATCTTTCCATAATCTTGCAGCGTTACCATCTTCTGAATCATTTCCAAAATACTATTCGTTACATTTGGATGTACCTTTGGTGCCAGTAACAGTTTTATTATGTATGGGAGAGAGCTAATTGATTTGTCATCAGGTCTATGTTTTATAAACAGGGGATAGTATCTCGAATTTTGACTCCATGTCATGAACAGCTTTAACAAGGGCGTGGGACTGTGTATGCCTTCCATAGGCAACTTCTCTACCCATGGGAAGACTGCTACGTCGAACAACGCGTCTATCTCGTACTCGGTCCATTCGTAATTCTCGTAATGACCAAAGAATCTCGCTAATATTGTAATACAACTGGACCTCGCGTTTTTAATCGATGTTAAGTAACCAGAGTGGACTTTGTCAGATCTTTGGAGAATTCCAGTCACCTCTGCCAGTATGCATATCACCAGGGCAAGCAAATAAGGCAACAATTTTTCCATCATTCTACTACCGAACTGTTCTATCAGACTACCGATCAAATTTATGGCGCTTTGTAAACGTTTCGGTGGCATAACGTTGGTTAAATCTACGGTGTCGATGATATCTTTTACAACCTGTTGCAGATTGATCTTCCTGCCTAATTCGAGTGACGCGTATCTCTTGAAAGGTTTAAATGCCATATTAACGAACACGAGCATCTCGCGTTCTTCGGTTCCCATTAAAAATCGAATAAACATATCTCTTCTTAACGTAGCCCGAGCCATGCCACCAGTTTTCATTCCTGTTCTTGTTACCATTTTCGCATAAATTATTCGCATTAGTATAGGAATAAACTCGTCGCGATCCTCATCCAGTATCATTTTACTTTCTACGTCGATCTTAAAGCGAGTCAGTTCGTCCTTCATGCTCCTATCGTTAATTATGTTCAACAAATTCTCCTTGTAAGGTAACAGATACTTGAACTTGTAAGTAAGAAGGCAGTTTAAAGCGGCTGTTTGAATATCGGCATCTTTGGACGACAAAAGATCTAAATAAATTTTCTGCATCTCCGATTCTCTGTACAATGTTCTTGGATTTGTGAACTGCTTAAATATTTCAAGCTGGGCGAGTAATAGTTGAAGTTTGTAATTTTTTCTCATGGTCAATTGTTTCTTGGCTCTTTTTCGTTCTATGGGAGGTACTTCCTTTTTCTCTTCGTCCTCTTTATCGCACTGGTTATTACTTTCATCTTCTGCTTCAATCTCCATGTTATTAGCATCCGAGTCTTGCAGTTTTAAGATACTACAATATTTAGAATCTTCAGAATTCGATTTGAAGAAATTCTCGTTTACGTAGTCAATAAACAATCCAGTTATATCTCTGTTTTTCATCTCGCAGAAGGAAGAAAAATTCGCCATACATTTCCACAAAAGAACTTGACGATTCTTGCAGTCTGGTCTATCATTACTTCGTTGTATTCTATCCTCTATTTCAGAAATGATTTCGCATTTGAACAACGGCTTGTAATCTTCAAACTCTTGGCTAGACGTTAACTCGTTTAGAAATATAGGCCAGAATTGTTCGCAGTCTTTAGTCGCGTATGTAGCTATGATGTTGCTCACCGGTTCCCACAGCAAGGAAAAATTTATATATAATGTTCCCAGTAAATAACGTAAAGGAAAGTCGTAATACTTGGCCGGCAAGCATTTTATTACACTATTTTCAAAAGATAATGAATTTAGGTTCAACAATTTTCCGCGGACAGTCTCTACAGAGATCGGCGAGCATTCTGCTAAATAAATGTACTCCATGGCAGTCGTGCTTACTTCATTAACTACTCCTCCATGATGAATAATCTTCGATCCAATTAATGAGAACAGAGAGTAAAGATGTGTTACTATCAATCGAACTTCGCTGAAGGGTGAGCTCAATTTCTGCACGATACTAATGTTTAATTTATCAAAAGCGGCTTCATTCACGTACGCATCTCGATACTGTGACTGGCTAAAATAAGTCATGCACAGATCGACAGCGTTGAGAATGAATTTATTTTCAGGATACTTCTGAATTAAGTCTAATATCTGTATATCACTTTCACCCATAATTTTATGTAAACTCTCTGATTCTAAAACGCGAATCGCTGACTCTACAGCTATCAGGAAAGTCAAACATAATTTATTATCGGCGTCAGTGCTTAATATCCTTTGATATAAAGATAGAATTGCTTTTTTCAAAGTACTCCTGAACGAGTCTGGTAAAGGCTTTAGATGCGGCAAGATGATTAACATTTTTATCGCGTTCTCAGGAATATTACTTTCATCTAATGAACCTTCTAATTCTTTCTGAAGATAGCTTATGCTCTCAGATCTCATGCCTCGTATGTCCAAGGGAAATTCTTTCCATTTATGCAAATTAATGCCGTTCAGGCACAACGGTGCTTTGACTTTGATTATGTTTGAAAACAGGTCCAAAGTATTTTCGTCAAAGCCGATTGCGATGCTGTGTCGTATTATCATCGGCAGTACCACAGTTTCGAACGATGAATAATTTACTAGATTTATACCAGCGCTGTACAATAATCTAATATCTTTAACAGACATAACTTTAAGCAATATCTGACTGACTGTTTCTTGCATCAGTTTAACGTGACTAGCCAAGAGAATGGAGACCGATAGCTTCATAGCTTCTTGTAGAACGTCATTTTCATCCTGAAACGTATCTAAAATCTGTACCAATCTTTTGATCAGAGGTACAGGTTCTACGATCATTCTTCCATTTCTATAGTTAACGATTGTGTTTAGCAACTGCATTAAGAGGATTAAACTTTTCTGTCTCTTACTCGTCTGTTCAAAATGCTTAGTCTTTTCTATAGAAGTGTCCACGACGCTTAGAAATACAGACCAGAATACTTGACATTTTTGTGGATGTATATTATTTAATATAGACTCGATAATTCCTTTCAATAATTCGAACATCAGACTTTGATCAAGAGACTCATTATTTAATGCGTTCAAGTATAGCGAAAGCATACGCTCCGCGCAGGAGTGAAACTGTTCTGGTGTACCCGATATCACTTCAAATAATAATTTAGCACACCCGGGTATTCCATCGGGATTCGTTTTAAGTATACGTAGTATCGTCTTTAAGAACGAATCTTTATCTTTAATTTTGCGTACTACAAATGCAAAACTCTCTGCGGCGAAATCATTTATGTAAGAAGGCTGCGCGTCTCCCAGTAGTGGTAACAATAAATCGAGTACGGTTTTAACATTTTTTACCAAGTACCTCCATAAGAATTTAAATAAATAGGCCAACGAGGTAAATGCATACTCTAGTTGCTCCGTGTCTTTTGTATGCAACAATTCAATGATAATAGTTAGAAATCTAGGAAAGTACTCGTAGAAGTCCTTTTGCAAGTCTTTAGACAGTGCCACGACTAGATCTAACATCGGCTGCAAGAACAAGACGTCTTTCTTCTCTAAATATTCTATCAGTGTGTCTACCACGAACTGCTTTTGGTTAATCAACTGCGGAAGGGTAATGATGTTACAAACTTTCCTTTTGAAACTGCAGTAGCCTTCTGTGAGATTAAGGAAATTCCATTTTTGGAGTGTCTCGTGAAAATGTGTTTCAACTTCATCATCGTTCTCTTCATTTCTGTGGACGACCCGATGAAACACGTCGACATTGATTTCATTCACCCTTTCAGAGAATCTTTTGAACTATAACAAAAACGATAACTTGACGAATATCCTGAGTGAAACAATTATTTTTAATAACCGTACCTGAAACGTGTTCGATTCTTTATGACGAATTGGTTCAGTCTTCATCTTGGCAAATTGTACAATCACTCTCTAACGAAATTAAATTCGGTCGTTGATTTCTCAAAATGACTGAAATTGAAATCGTCTTACAGATACACGTGCGTCTGTAGTTTTTAGGATAGCTATTTGCTATCGGCAGCAATTTACAAGTTGCAAGAGTTCACAATGATCGAATCGAACTGATAGTGTGATAGTGATTACTTACTAATGACTGCGTTTTATTTCCTTGTATAGAAACACGTTTGTTTTACACGAGTGCTCAGGCGAAAAGAAATGGAAGAAATAACCCAGTCAACCATCTGGTAGCAGGCAGCAGGCAGAACAGAATGGGGCAGCGTGGAGGAATTTTTTCCCTCGAGGCTCGCTTCCCGCTTCCCCTGTTTTTCGCCCGTATTTCGATCCCCACTACTATTCCCCTCATGCGTGCTCATGCGCGTTCGCGAAGCTCTCCGCAGCACTACCGTGAAAATCACTGCATACCCCCACCAACTATTGGTCCCCACCATGTTCGCGTCGTCCTGACGTAAATCGGCCGCCAGTCTGAAGTCAGATGTGATGGCAGGTCTGACGACAATCTACCATCATTCTGGAAACAGGCCTGACATCAGACCTGGCGTTACTCTGTTACCATACTGGCGACGGGCTTGGCACCAGCATCTGGAAGCAGATGGCGAGCAGTCTGCAGTCATTCTACTGGGTATATATANTATATATATATATATGACTATAGTCAAAGGTTTGAGCAGTGCCGACTCATCGCTGAAAAGATCTTTACCAAAACATCTCTGCACCCTTATTAGACCAGATTTCTTAAAGTTTCCTTTGCCGATCAACGACATAACATTAATTTTTAATCGTTCATCATGATTATAACGCTAAAAAACTTACAGCAGCTGACGTTTACAGTAGAAATTGATCCATCGCAAACCGTGAGTGAAGACAATATAAATACGAAATATTTCGTTCGTTTTCGAATTACAACAGAATAAGTCAATATTCTTTGCAGGTAATGGATTTAAAGCAAAAGATTGAGACTCAAAAGGGCTTTCCTGCTAAATACCAGAAATTAATATATGCTGGTGAGCCATATAGCTTACATAACCTTATTTTCACTTAATTCTACATTTATTATTGTTTTTACATATATGGAAATCGATTTAGTCTTCGTATCTAAAATTCACAATTAAATATTCATTTCTTACTGAGTTTAACGTACCATTAAAAATTTATTATTTTTCTATAAGCATTATCGTTATCGTACGTTGATAATTTATGGTTGTGTAATGTTATTCTGATTTTTATAGGAAAAATATTAGAAGATGAACATTCATTAGCAGAATATAATATAGATGAAAAGAAGTTTATAGTCGTTATGGTAACAAAGCTTAAATCAGGTGATGGTCAATCGACGACTGAAGAATCTGCAAGTACAGAAAATAAAGAAGAAAGTACTACGACTAGGTATTGACTCAGATTTCAATCGGAGTTTACAACTTTCCATAATTTCTTCTGTAAACGTTAAACTTATTTTAGTTGTTCCACATTAAGTTTTTATTAACGTTTGTTTTCTGTCATAGCCCAGCAGCACAACCTAGTCCAAATCCTACTGTTCAGGTTGCATCGAACCCTACTGTACAAGAACAATCCGCGGCAAGTACTGTCGCCGGAGGTGGTACCGGAAATCAAGCTGAAAGTGCCTTGTTAATGGGTGAAGATTACAATTCTATGGTGAACATTATTGTGGATATGGGGTAGATATATGTCAAACACAAAATTCGAATTTGTAAATACTTCATCGTTGCCCGTCTTCATTTATGTTTAATTAACGTGCCTCGTTTATTCAGGTACGAACGTGAACAGGTCGAGCAAGCGTTAAGAGCAAGTTTTAACAATCCCGACAGGGCGGTCGAATACCTTTTAACGGGTATACCAGTTCAACTTTTCGAGGATTTACCAGATGATCAACTCGAAGCTTCGCAACAACTCGAAGCTTCGGAACAACTCCAAGAGCATGGTCAACATCCATTAGCATTTTTACGAATGCAGCCACAGTTCCAGCAAATGCGCCAAGTTATTCAACAAAATCCTCAGTTATTGAATGCTGTACTGCAGCAGATTGGACAAAGCAATCCTGCGCTGTTACAGCTTATTTCACAAAATCAAGAAGCGTTCGTACGCATGCTTAACGAGCCCGGTTAGTATCCGTTCATTTAACGTAGACTAGTGTATTTATTACATTTCCGAAGATAATAATTCGATTCCGGAACAGTCGAGACTACTGGTAGTACAGGAGGAAGAACTACGCCTGTGTCTGCGTCGAATATTGCCCCGGTAGCTGCCCCCGGCGGAATAAGCGGAGGGCTTGGTATAGGAGGAGCGGGATCGGATGCAGAGCCTTCCGTGATCCAGGTAACGCCCCAAGATAAAGAAGCCATCGAAAGGCTGAAGGCATTAGGATTCCCCGAACACTTAGTCGTTCAAGCGTATTTCGCGTGTGAAAAGAACGAAAACCTTGCTGCTAACTTCTTGCTGTCGCAGAGTCTCGATGACTGAACTAACGCACTTAATTGATTTCACAATAAGGAATTAAAGGACTGATGTAGGGTGGGTAATTACACAGGCGCCATGTTATTTTTCAACTGGTCATCTTCGTTTTGTAAATATAAATATGCACACATATTTATGTTGTTATATTAAAGTTTTAGTTAGGCGTTAATATACATTGGCACGTTTGGTATCACTTAAAAATCTACTAGAATTATGTACCAAAAACGGAAAATATTAATGCGTCAAATTCTTAGTCTTCAAACACGTTCTTTTTTCTCCAATATATATATATACATGTATTTACATCACTTTTTATATACTTTAAGACACTGGAGTTATGTTGTTTCTCATGTGTGTTACAATCTGTCCTTACAATCTGAAAATTAATTACTCATTGACCATACCTTTTGTTCTTTAAATATATGGAGCAGTGTAATTACATTTTTATGTAAGAAAGCCTGCTTGTTCCAATATACGGGGATATGAATACTTTACGGTATACATTGGAAGTGTTGTACACAATTTTACGCATGCATACAGGTTTGCATACACGGCTGAAAATATACGTGTGTGTATCGGAAGCTATGTGTGCATGAGACAAGCATATTTTGTACATTTAATGGGCTTTCTGATATAAAAATTATGTAAGTGCATCCGTATATGTATGATTGCATATGTATATATGTGTGTACTTGCGTATAACTTGCGCCTATGTATGTATGTATAAAAAAAGTCTTGTATTTTTTAAAGAAAACTTATGAAAATAGTTGTTCATTAATAACACGATACAATATCATTTCATTTGCCACATACTAAGAAAAATGTAAGAAACTTTCGAATGAAAGGAAAAGAAGAAGAAATGAAAAATTTAAGTAACATATGCATACATATTGTTTCGAATTTGTTTGACCTAAATAATCCATTTTTCTCATCTGAAGCAGAACTCGAGTAACTTATGACTAGTTAATAAGTGATGATCGTATGTGAAATATCTTACATAGATAATTGAAGGTGATTCACAGGGAGGTATGAAACTTTAAAGAAAATTTGTAATTAACTTTCTATAAAAACGGAGGCAATGAGATTATTAATATTATAAAGAAAGCATTCAATATGTTCGTAGCCTTAATATAATACGTAATTTATTAGGGATCGTTCGAATTTTTAAGATACTAGTACTGATATTAAAATTTTATTAGAAACATAACACGATGTAGAACAAGTAATACAACTACAAAAATTGCATATTTAATAAATAAAAACGATAAGTCTATACGCAAACAAACACGCTTGTTTCCCCGTTTGCTATGCGAGTATATGTACGATTAAAAAGATGTTATGATGTTACACTCTTCATTATCAAGAGACGAACGCTTTTTATGCTGTTTATAATTTTTTTACTATCCGTTATCAAAAGTATGTACAAATATAATCGACATAAAGGAATTCGTCATATTGCAATATACAACTTAAATTATATAGGAACATATCGATTCATTTGCTCCTTAGAATTACACCTTTGCTTTGGAGATCTCTCTTAGCTTCCTCTATTTGCTGTAAAAAAATTCAAACGTCTTACAACGTTTCTTGCGAGTAATCACAAAATGTGTACCATTTATTTTGGAACTCACTTCTTGTAATTCTACAGCAGCGTTTTCACAATTATTGAACGTGAAAACTCTATATAAAATGATGATAGCTGAATACAGACCAAATAACAATACAACAATGAGTGGAAGAAGAAGGATGACTCTTTTTAATTCTATAATAAAAGACAAATTAATGCTTTCTGTAATTGCAGTGATCCATATGCTAAAGAATAAAGTAGCAAATAAGAGCCACTCCAATAGTTTAGTCATCTGAAATTTAAGATATATCGTTTTTATTGAAATTTGTNAAGATGTATTAAATTAATGTACGGAAGTCCTCTAGATCAAATTTTAATTCTTTTCCTGAGCACTTAAAGTAAGATCATAGATTAATGCTTAATCAATGTTATTCAGATTTTCAGAATAATTTAATTTATCAAATTTAGATTCTTTGTACAAATTCTAACATTCTATCTGAACCGATACACAAAGTGGGTCACGTGGATGGCGTTGGATGGCGTACAGCATGGACCTAAAGGACAGAGCATGAGGTAGGAATAATGCTCCGTCCCACTCCGTCCTTTATGTCCATGGCGATGGCGTAGAGCAGGGAGGGAGCAGGTAGAAACCAGGTAGAAGCGTAGAGTCGTAGAGCACAAATGGACAATGGATCAGTAGTAACCGTAGTAACGCTCAGCAACGCTCAGTAACGTTGATGCAGGTTAGACGAACTTAAACGGAACACGTTTACATTTTCACATCAAATTCTTCTGACAATTTCGTTTCTAATAGACGAAATATGAAAAGAACGAATAGGACTTTTATCAATGTATATTAATGTTCCAAGTATTTGACTAACGAATTAAGAAAATGACTAGTGAAACTCAAATCACAAATATCGTAAACGATATTTTAGTAAGTATAATTATTATAACATTACTCATTAATCCAACACAGCTTATCACATTTGTATAAATTGATTACAGAAAGTAGAGGCTATAGAAGAAGCATTCAGTTGTGTTCTTGTTTACCATCCAAACAGTGAAAGTGAAAAGATAACAACATGGCAAGTCGAATTAACATCTGCTATGTCAAATTTATCGAAAGAACAGCAGGAGAACGGTGTAAGGCAATTTTTATCCATGGCAGCAGCAATGACCAATCACAGAAGATTACAGTTATTATTGTCTTTACTCGAGAATTTAGTCATATCTAATATTTTGCCAGCAAGGTAGATCAGTTTGTAATTAAAGTATTCACTGTCAGATATCAATGATACTCATTGTCAATAATACACATTTCTAGGCTGGTATGTGAGTGTATTTTAAATTGTGACAAACTCCAATATCAGTTAGAAGATTTTTGGGTTGAATGTTTTGTACTTATTCGCCATATCATTGGAGGAGTAGATTATAAAGGTGTGAGAGAAATAATGAAAGTGAGTATTAACGACTCTAGTTTTACATTTGTATTAAGAGAGATCACGAAACAGTAACTACGGTTTTACAGGGATGCAGGGAAAAGGCGCAAACGATTCCACCGAGATTGGACGCGTCCATCCTTCCTCAGTTAAAAGCACTAGAGAATGTACTTGAATACATTTTCGATAGAAACGCTTGTTTATTACCAGGTTACTTCATCGTGACTGAGATACAAAAAGCTTATCCTGACGGTAAAAATTGGCCACACTGGGTACGTTACATAAAAGGTTTCTGACACTCTGATACTTAATAAGACTTCAATCGATTAATTTGTTTTAGAAGCTGGCACAGTTGCTCTCAAATTTTGTCGAGAGCTTTCGCAACACCGCCCAAATGGTGTCCATAGTCGGACATTCGAAAATGTTGCCAGTAGTAGAACATACCGGATACGCGGATTTGATCAATCCATGGGTTCTCGATACGACGACATTAAAATTTTCACTGAAGGGGAATTTGCCTTACGACGAGGATTTACTTAAACCACAAACTGGTTTACTTCGATACGTACTAGAGCAACCTTATAGCAGAGACATGGTCTGTTCGATGCTCGGTTTGCAGAAACAGGTAAAGAGTAGTTACGTGTAATTGAATAACAATCGAGTTACAGTTAAAATTCGTTTTCATTTCAGCAAAAGCAACGGTGTATTGCTTTGGAAGAGCAATTAGTAGAACTAGTAATTCTCGCTATGGAACGTGCAGAAAATGAGACGCTACCAGCAGAGGGCACCGATGGAACTGTCGCTAATCATTACGTATGGTTGCATCTATCGTCCCAACTTATATATTTCGTTCTCTTTTCATACGCCTGTTTTCCGAACATCGTGATGGCGATACACGATAAATTGGCAGGAAGAGATCTGAGAAAGGGAAGGGATCACTTGATGTGGGTTCTGCTGCAATTCATTTCCGGGAGTATTCAGAGAAATCCGTTATCGAATTTCTTGCCAGTATTGAAACTATACGATCTCCTCTACCCGGAGAAGGAACCTTTGTCGGTTCCAGATTATTCTCAGGCGTTGTGTACTCATCAAATGGCTATTACCTGTATATGGATGCATCTGCTGAAAAAAGCTCAATGCGAGCATTCGAACATCCACAGGCCGATACCGCACACTTTAAAACTCCACCACGAGTTTTTGCAACATTTGGTCATGCCTAACACATCTTTATGCATGGGCTCCGACTACCGCATCGCTTTATTGTGCAACGCCTATTCTACGAATCAGGAGTATTTCGGTAGACCGATGGCTGCCTTGGTAGACACTATACTAGGCACTCAGAAAGGCCAGCAGCAGCAACCGATGCAAACGTTACAGAATAACGCAGCCCTCGCGAACGGACCAACCACGCCGTTATCAATGTCGATCTTGGATTCGTTGACGGTTCACTCGAAAATGAGCCTCATACACAGCATCGTTACCCATGTCATCAAATTGGCACAATCCAAAAGCAACATGGCACTGGCACCGGCGCTGGTTGAAACTTACAGCAGGCTGTTAGTGTACACCGAGATCGAAAGTCTCGGCATTAAAGGTTTCATTAGCCAGTTACTCCCGACGGTTTTCAAGTCTCACGCGTGGGGAACGCTGTACACGCTTTTGGAGATGTTCAGTTACAGGATGCATCATATACAGCCGCATTACAGGGTACAACTTCTGTCCCATCTGCACAGTCTCGCGGCTGTACCACAGACTAATCAAACACAGCTTCATCTGTGCGTAGAGAGCACGGCGCTTCGCCTGATCACTGGCTTAGGATCAGCCGAAGTGCAGCCGCAATTGTCCCGATTTTTATCCGAACCGAAAACTCTCGTGTCGGCGGAATCCGAGGAGTTGAACAGAGCTTTGGTATTAACGTTGGCACGATCTATGCACGTGACGGGTACAGGTTCCGACAATCAAAGCGGCACGTGGTGCAAAGAGCTGCTAAATACCATAATGCAGAATACGCCTCACTCGTGGGCCAATCACACTCTTCAATGTTTCCCCACGGTGTTGAGTGAATTCTTCCAACAAAACAGTGTGCCGAAAGAAAACAAGCAACAGATCAAGAAGGCAGTGGAAGAAGAGTACAGGAATTGGGCTTCTATGAGTAACGAGAATGACATTATAGCACATTTCTCTGTACCTGGCACTCCGCCTCTGTTTTTATGCCTTTTGTGGAAGATCATTTTTGAAACTGATCGGATCAGCCCGATCGCGTATAAAATCTTGGAGAGAATCGGTGCTCGAGCTCTCTCTGCTCATCTGCGAAAATTTTGCGATTACCTCGTGTTCGAGTTTGCTAACAGCGTCGGTGGTCAGCATGTAAATAAATGTGTAGACACAGTCAACGATATGATATGGAAATACAATATTGTGACCATTGACAGGCTGATCCTCTGCCTAGTATTGAGAACTCACGAGGGCAGTGATGCCCAAGTGTGCTTCTTTATAATTCAACTGTTATTGTTGAAGGCTGTTGAATTTCGAAACAGAGTTCAGGAATTTGTCAAAGAGAATTCGCCGGAACATTGGAAGCAGTCGAACTGGCACGAGAAACATCTTGCGTTTCATAGAAAGTTCCCAGAGAAATTCGCGCCCGAAGGCATAATGGAACAAGCCAGCGGAGGGCCCAGCCAATATCAAAATTTACCCGTTTACTTCGGTAACGTGTGTCTACGATTTTTACCGGTGTTCGATATCGTCGTTCACAGATATCTGGAAATTCCGGCTGTGTCAAAAAGTTTGGAAACACTGTTAGATCATTTGGGATGTTTATACAAATTTCACGGTTCGTACAAGTTTCTACTTACAATTCTATGATTACAGAATCATTACTTTTCAATTGTTATCTTTGTTTTCTAGATCGACCAGTAACATATCTTTATAACACGTTACATTATTACGAACGAAAATTAAGAGACAGGCCACCCTTAAAACGTCGTTTAGTATCAGCAGTGTTAGGCTCTCTTAGAGAAATTAGAGCTCCTGGATGGGCACTGTCCGAAGCATATCACATGTACATGTCTCGATCCGCTGACGATGTTGTTACTTGGATGCCTGAGCTAGATTATTACGTCCGTTTAGTGCAAAGAATCGTAGAAAGTAAGTATTTCTTGACGTTGATTAATCATGTGCAAATGGCCGATTTCATTAATCAAATTTGCAGCAATGTCAGGCACAGCGCATTTCCCAGCCACGGATTGGAGATTCAACGAATTTCCTAATCCTGCAGCACATGCCTTGTACGTTACATGCGTCGAGCTCATGGCTCTTCCCGTTGCTCCAAATATAGTCGCTAATTCAATATTGGACGTAATTGCAAAAGGGTAAAACGTGATAAAATACGATTAATTACGTTGTGTATCTGTTTATACATTTTAAATTTGATTTTACCAGGTATACAGTAATTCGATCTGATGAAATTCATTTATGGATCAATTGCGTGGGTTTGTTGTTGGCCGCTTTACCGGAGTGTTACTGGTCGGCGTTGCACGATCGATTGGTAGAAACTATTAGCAGTCCAGGATTAGCTAATTGGCAGTACAGTAACTTGACGCCGTTCGAAGTGTTTAATTTTAATAACACGCACAATAGTTTACTGGAAAATATATACAGTTACATGTTAGCGCTGGCACATTCCGTCTGGCACCACGCTGGTGTCGGCCAGATAACTACTATGCCGCAGTAAGTATAAACTAAAATTTACTTTCGACAACCATATTGGACTCTATCCTTTTCTCCAGGTTTATTAAGGAGAAATTACAACCAGTTGTAAATAGTGAAGAACAGTTGATATACGCTTATCACTTAATCGGACCTACTTTAGCAAGATTCAACGCCGAGCGACCGCATTGTGTCGTAGAGTTAGCGGTCTGCCTGTACGAAATGCTCGAGCAAGTCGATCGGCTTCAGACTCATTTGAAGTACATGGATCCAGTCTGCGATTTATTGTATGCTTTCATCAAAAACTCTTTACTGAATTATTTAAAGTTGTTCATTCAAAACTATTGCTTTCTTAACTCAAATTATTATAACAGGTATCATATAAAGTATATGTTCGTTGGCGATATGATGAAGAACGAAGTGGAGTGCATTATACGAAGATTAAGACCGGCTTTACAAATGAGACTGCGGTTCATTGCCCACATAAATATTGATGAAATTCAGTCTTCCTGAGATACGCCGAGCACTAGTAACGCGGAAGTGAATACATGATGATATCGTGGGTATCGATCTCGTATATATTATTTCACTGATTACGCGACCCTAGTCATAGAGAATTTCTGTGACGCCATTTCTGTAGGATACAATCCTTTGTAAATATGGCCAGTAATTTAAATACATTTTTTATACGAGATATGTCTTATGTAAAAACGAAAATTATGTTTGTTTTAAAGTAGCATAATGCAATAGTATTGTGAACATAAAAAGAGCCAACGTCCTTCGACTAAATTACATATTTACGGTTTTCTTATCACAACATGATTTTCACAGCACGTCTGACAAGGCAGGAGCGGTGCTTTAACTAGGCTCACAAGTACATATTGTCATAATAGAAGGCATGCGTTACAAAGCTCAATTTTATACCTATTTATATAATAATACTTTTTAATCGCAAGCAAACGCAGTACGATATATTTAGATAATAAACTTCGCAAGTTTCATTAAACAAATACTATAATACTGCGTACATCTGTATAACTATTAATTGTTAAACAATCAAGAGAGTTCGTGCCTGTATTACTATCTCTGACTCTACCGAAGCGCGCGAACTATTTTGATTATTTAAAATTATTAGAATCTAAATTAAGTACGTATACGCCTAACATATTGTAAAGGTTTAAGTATTTATTATCACATATGGAATTACTGTCATGTATTATCACGTAACGTCAGCAAATTTAAATCCTGTCGAAGTCAACGTCACCTGATTTCATATCTTTGATCAACTGGGCAAATTTCTCGTGCTTACATTCGTTGTCCTGTACGAACGGTTGCTCTCTCATTTCTTGCATCCACTTCATCTGAAATAAATGTAGAAAATTCTTTTTTACTTAAACTACTTACGAAATCATGTTTCGTGGACTCGAAATGCGTACCAGGTGTGTGAAGTTCCCATCGTTAAAGTATGTAGGTTCTCCATAAATTATAGACAGAGATTTCCTTCGTTCAACCCATGGCCACATTAATAAATCTAACATACCAGGTTGAGAACCTGAGCGAAAGAATTTAGTTACTGATCGATCATGGAATATCTTAATTAATATACAAACCTCCGAAATAGACAGTGCCACGAGCTTTCAGTTCCTCTTCAAATTCTACCAATAAAGACGTAATTTCAGCGACAATCTCATTGATCGGCCTGTTATCATTACCATGGATACAGTTGGAAAATATGCCAACAAGCTAGAAGCACATGATCAGTACTAAATTAAATGAATTCTGTTACATGAAGATATGTTTCGTAACTGTACATAAATATATTTTGTAAATAATTTTGTACATGATCAAAATATATTATACTCATAAGCTCATACGGCTTGTTTTGTTACCTTGGAGTAGTGGTCTAACAACTCTAAATCACGAACTTTCGTTTCTTTGTGATACAAAGGTGGTTCAGGATATTTCTCATCTAAGTAATCTGCTATTACTAACGAATCAACGACTACTTTACCATCTACATCAACAAACGCTGGTACTTTTCCGTCTGGATGTACCTAGAAGTGAAATGTTTCATAGATTTCACAGGAAACCGATGATACGACTTTTCCAATTACAATTATACTTCATGTATCTACCTCCAAATACCATTTGGGCTTATTCTTTAGATTAATGTTAACAACATCGTGTGGAATTTTTTTATAAGAAAGTATCAAACGAATTCGATGAGCAAAAGGACAATATTTCATACTATATAAGCGAGCCTTTCCTTTTACTTGTGGCGGTTTTTGAGAATCTGCAATACATTACAATAAACATTGGTTGATCATTCCAGTTTAAATTATTCTTCTAAAGTGGTACAAAATAACGAAAGGAATAGTAATTTCCCATATAAAAACGTCGTGTCAAAAATCTTTATCAGTGAAAATAGTAAAATCTCTACTGCAAATATTCGTGCGATTGATTTACTTTGCTGTGGAAATCATTAACTACGATTATACGAGATAAAGATCTACCAGTTCCTTCAAGAGGAAAATACGATAATTCATCAGGGAAAATTCCACTTAACTATTGTTACAAAAAATATAACTGTTAACTTACCAGGTCCAAGATGTAAGTCGCTCATGATCGTAATATCTCTACGTTCAGTGATCAGGCAAAAAATATGCTTTGAGAAATTGAAAAAGTTGATCGATCGGACTTGTATATAATATGAATACACAATAACTGATGGTCCTTCGATGGAAGATATAGACACGGAATGTATCAATGTCGAGACCGGAGAGATGATAGTAAGGATAACGTCATCAACAGCAATTTGTCAATGTTCAACGTAACTGTTAAACGGAATATAACGTCAGACCTTAGGTAAACGCGTATCACCGCCGTCGACGACCATCAACGACCATCTCCAACTGCTCGAACTATTGCGATCTAAATATTGTGCTTCTTTTTTCAAAGAAGTTAGCTGCGCGCATGCTCGAAAGTCGATTGATCGAATCGAACTTTTAAACAGAAAGAATGAGGAGCTTCGGGAGTAGAAGAATAAAAAGACGCATAGACTTTTAATTTCATAGATGTTTATTTCGCGTATTTACTTAAACGCGAAGATGTCCATTTTTTACATTTTCAGTTGATTCGTTAGATTAACATACTATGTAGGTACAAAATTATTTTATTTATAAAGTTCTGTCTAAATATACAATAGTACGTACAATATAAATCAGGCTGCGGATTTGTATGGAAAGTGACACGTTTAACAAATGTATTTCAGATGAATGCACTTATCTCATCACTTATGCAATATACCGAACTATGTAAATATTATGCGATATATTGAATAATTTCGTAACTTCAGCAGATTCAGTTTCCCCATGAATGCATCAAATCCGCAGTCTAAATATAACGATACCTTTGTTAAGTTAGTTCGTCGGCTGAGATTTGCATCTCCAGAATATTGGAACATGAGTACTACATGTATTCGTTTATTTGTCGTATCGTTACGCGGGAGAGAGGCAAGTACGGGCTCTAAATGAACAATAAAAAAATATAACATATAATACATGTAATTTTTGTTAAAGTACTAAAGTATTGGAAAAGTCGGAGCAATTGCATTGTGTACTATTCGGGCACTATAATAAATAAGTTAATCGTTTATGGGTCCATCAGATTAACCGAAGGAGGTCTGACGTTTAACTGATATTCTCCGAAGACCATCGCTGCTACCCATTTTAATTGTTCTTCTTTCAACGATCCAGCTATAGTGTTTCCAAAGAACGGGCTTTCCTTACACCTGAGACCAAGTATTTAAAAATAATTTTTGACATCGCGACTATCTTTCTTTATCTAGTTACCGTTAATAATTACCTAGTTGGCTTTTTATTTTTTGCTATAAATGTGATCGACCACCTGCAATTAACAAAGCAAAAAATACTATATAAAAAATTGACCTTAGCTGAAGAACGTTTAAACATCATAAAGTATTTACCCTGTTTGAGGATTTCGTTTTGGCTCGTGACCTAAATACCAGATAATATCCTCCACTTTCCATTCGAACAATACATTCGCGCAAACTCTGTCTTTATAGCAATACAGTTTTGCCTGACTAAATTCGAAGAGGTAGTTCTTAAAATTTTTCGACTTAGTGTCAGCAAATTTAAGTTCACCGGACACGGTCATCGGTGGTTTTATCTAAAACGAGAACAAAGGAACAATAATAAAAATGAAATTAGTAGTCGAAACAGTTATTAAAACATGTCAGCCTATTTATATAACCCATTGTCAGCGCTGTGTAATTTCATTGTATTTACCAGAGGTGAAATCTCCTTGTACACTCGATCCCTTTTAAGTATGAGGACGTTGTCCTTTCTATCCTCAGGATCCCAGTATCCCCACCTCGCAACTGCTTCGAGGACCCGCTCTTTGTGATGCAACGGCCGTTCCAACGCACCAGCCAAAGTATATTCTTCCAGGCATAGCTCGTGAGCTGGCGTGTTCGTCCTCTCGGTCAATTCCACGCATACGTCGAACGCAGTCTTATGCGGCCCGATCTTAAAAACATTTTTCAAACGAGTTAACATCTATTGAAATCACACTTGTTAAATAATGAAAAGGAATCCTTACGGTCACGTTGACGCATTCCCCGTCCCTGGAGAAAATGTAGATCCAGATCTTGAGGTCACCCGAAGGCGCTCCACGCAGGCCATTGTTCGAGACGTGATACTTTTCGAGAACCTCCAAGATTCTCGCCTCTTTCTCCAAGTCCGCGGCGGTCAGTTGATACAGTTTCGGATAAAGCTTGATGAGGTCACCAATCACTTTCGTCTCGGCCCGGTTCCATTCATCGATACTATTCTCGCCAGCGTGCATCAACGTCGGTCCCCATATCGCTGAAAGATTCTCACCAGTCATAAGGTTCCTGGAACTCTGCTGACTCAGACAGTGAAGGTGAGCAAGAATCCTCCTGAGCGTTGCCGCCGCTACTGGCGTTAACGTGGACAACAATTTTCTATATGCCGCGACACGCTCATTCTCGTGCACATTTTCTAAAACACGCAAGTTGAAAATCCTGTTATTTTTATGAATAAGTACATATAATCGCATAGGACCTATCTTCTATCTGGCAACTGAAGCTATAATTTTTGTCTGAAGTATTTCTCGCTTGGCAAAAAAAAAAGTCTTATAAGGCTGCCACTCTTTAGTAATCTCTCCGCGGTAATTTGTTTTAAAAGCCTTATCTAAAGTTACTTTCACTCAGCAACTTGACACTTGACACATCGCTATGAAAAAAGAATGATTCATTGAAATACGCGAGTCGCGTGCAGCTTCCAGCCGCGTGTAACAGATCGAAAAAATCATCGTATGCAATTATTTAACAATCCAACGTTTATTCCAGAACTATTAAAATAATATTTTAGATGAATTAAAATTGTGTATATTAAAATATTAAAGACGATAAATCCGTAAGTAATGATACCGGAAATTCGATATTATAGTTCCTGTTGAAACCGGTTGCAACGTGAGAAAGTATGCGTGGGTGCAAACACGCGAACCAGCTTGACATTCTTCTTATAATTATGTATGCAAGCGATGGCCGAGTGCAAGGAACGATTTATTGGCACGTCGTCGTTTCAAACAGACATTTCACTTTCATCGGACAGTAGAACGGAGTACAACGAGACGTGAAATATGTTAACTGAAGTAAAAATAGTTTTACAATTGAAAGTAAAAATGATTGACATATTTAATTTCCGAAGTTCTACGTAATTGAATTTCGTCACGTTTCCACTCGCCAATTTCATTGTCAAAACGGTCATGCAAAAGTAGTAAGACCACACGCAAACGGCCAAGGACAATGAGCGTTTCTTACCTGAGGTGAAACAAAGCCGATCGTGAATGTTCGAGGGGAACAATGGATTCGGTAAATCACGGAGAAACCTTCTGAGAACGGTAGCTACATCGTGTTCCGTGTACGCGCTCCTCGTAATTTGCGTTGCCCATGCGTCGTGACGAAATGCCTTCAACAATTTAACCACTGCGCTGTTGGAACCATTCTGCCGATAAATGCCCTCCGACATAATACCTTCAAAGTTGCGTACATTCGAGTTAATAAACATTTGAATGAATCTGTTCTCGTCTACTAAAATGTATACGCTGATAAAAAAAAAACCCCAGTGAAATTAGCATTTGTTGACAGGCAAAAGGTTCCAATTATTTTTAAGCAGAAAGACATTAAAAATGATATTTAAACCCTGAATTAAGTATCTTCACGATCATTTAATGAAGACCCATAGTAAGGAAGACTGAATGACAATTCGATGAATGTCAGTAGGAGATTTTACCATGACGGTAAATAAAGTTGATACATTTCTCAAGAATGACTGGGACATTGTCCTGCGTGAGTTGCTGCTGCTCCAAAGCTGGACCACAAGTAGTAGCAGCTTGATAAAGCGCGTGCCTCCACGCGGATCCTTCGTGAGTTCCTGGCGCAGTCATATGTAAGGCACCGGTACCACCTGCGTCGACGACTACTACAGGAACCGAGCCGGCATCAGAATTTGGTCCTTCCTGTTCCCGTAGAACTATAATAGCAAAATGTTCGAAACTGTATGACTGATAAATAAATATAAGCATGGACAGTTTTGTTTTACGACGGAATGACGTTGATACCGGTAGAAAATTGTTTATGCATTCGAAACATTCGTTGTGACAACAGCTGCATTTTTATATCTATTTCATCGTGTTAGTAGGTCATACGAAATGTACGTCGCTGCCGGCAGACGATGTTGTACGAGCAGTTAAAAAATGTGTTCCCTGATCGGTCGCGTGAGCAAGTAGGTCAACGATAAAAATAATTTGAAGTCTCCATTGGATACGATCCATCATGTATATAGGATCGTCTGTCTTAGAACGTCGATTGAATTATGTACTATTCGTAGTAACTGTATGACTTTCTGTGTTTCTCCTCTAGGAATTATTTTACTGTTAGCGTGAAGCGTACATGTATTTGAGTCGGTAGATAAAAGCAATAATAAATGCATATTACTGATAAAAGATAAAAGCGACTGTAATTGCGTAGTATTTATGTTTATTTAACTTCCTCGAACACTGTGGTGAAATGGTACCATGTGTGCGATGCATATTGCAGCTGTTAATAAAATGACTCATTACGTTGCCTGTAGGTACGATAAATTGGAAGATTATTTTAGTTGTAATTCGTTTCAATACTGTTTAGACGATTATGAAATTTTTTAGTAAATACGATGAGAGAACATAGATTTTTCGTTAATTGAAAAACTTACCGATGCATCGAGCTTTTCGGAGGTCAACTTCAACAGTGGTTGTGTTGGAATCCAGTGATTTCGTGTAGATTAATGTTCGTTGACAAAGGAGAACCCAAGCAGGAAACCACGAGCCAGTTACGCCTTCCTAAAACACGGATTTATTTCATTTACAGTACAGCTAATCATTTCATCAAACGTAGCGCGTTATCTAAAATAAAATTACATAGTCCAGTATTCAAGAATTAAAACAGAAGAAAAATGTGAAATCAAAATCTAACGAACTTTAAACAATATAAATGTTTTAAATAACATCTTTCTATGGACCAATAGAATTCTATGAGAGAAAGTATGTATGCTAGATCATTAGAAAGTGGTTTTCTCCAAATGTACTACTGGCAGATGACAAATTGAACGCAAACGTTTCGAAGTACTGTCATCTTAGAAAATATGGAAAGTGAGCAATAAATAATATTTTTTACCACTGCTGTTCATTAACATTTCTCCATAAACGTGGTCTAGACAATCGTGAAAAGATCGAAGTATACATTTTCGAAAATCCACATACCTTTCGTCATTAAAATATGCAGTGCACGTATGTACATTCCTAATAGCGGGCATGTGAACGAAAGGGAATTAGAAGTTAAATTTGAAAGATCTCACGTACGATATGTTACTTATTATCCGTACCTTTAAGTAAGCCCATCCTGCTCTCGTTAGTTCAGCCGTGTACTTCGTGGGAAAGATCGTGGTAATGGCTTCCAGTATCCTCTGGGCCCAAATCCTTCGTTCCGCGATTCCCTTCGCATAAAACACGTGAACGCTCGGCCTTCCCTCGCAGCTAATTGCTATGCAATGTACTGTATCTCCATCAACAATCCTGAACATTTTAAATCGCTTTTGTGATTCCTCAGCGGTTCACTATACGACCTCGCCGTATGCAAATTTTTCCTACCATGCGCTTCGTCAATAAATGTTAACTTTCTCCGTTTCCATAATTATGTTATTATTATTATTTCTATTCGATTTTTAGTAAGACTTTCTTGTTAATACGCGAAACCCGCGATCTACTGATAAGTGTATACGAAACGAAAATATTGATAGAAGATGACACGATTCTTCGTCAAACATTTTACGTCATTTCAAGATAATAATTGAAAATAGAAATATTGATCGCGGTTTACAATTGGCCACGTATATATTTCGTTGGATCTGTTTTTAGCGATTAAAAATGTGACTCACTTGACGTCTTGCAAAAGATGAATGCTGTATATTGTGTCGAGGTGAACGACCTCCTTCAGAGTAGACATGCTCTTATCGGCGTAAAGCGAGAGCTTTCCGTCGGCTAAGAGCGCCGTCCTCGGCACCAGGTCCTTCGCCCTTTCTATGCCTACACCCGTTCTGTAAACGACACCTCGATACGTCGCGACTTTCTGCAGGACGTTCGCCTTCGGCCTTTCCAGTTTCGTCGATTTCGCGGTATTCGTAGCACTGCCACCGCCGTGGTCACGATTTCTGGACAACAGTTTACTACCGCTCTTCACGAAACTCATCACGTTCGGCCTGATCCCGTGCCCGCTGGACTCGTGCCTCAATTTTCTTAATTTCTGCATCATGCCCACCCGTCTGTGCTGTTCCTCTGTGACTTTCACGCCAGAAGCGTCCGCAGATTCGTCGGCGTTCGTCGTCGTCGCATTGCTCGAAGTACTCGATGCTAGAACGCACACGATGCGATATACACTTTACTAGAAGAAAAATGTGAAATCAAAATCTAACGAACTTTAAACAATATAAATGTTTTAAATAACATCTTTCTATGGACCAATAGAATTCTATGAGAGAAAGTATGTATGCTAGATCATTAGAAAGTGGTTTTCTCCAAATGTACTACTGGCAGATGACAAATTGAACGCAAACGTTTCGAAGTACTGTCATCTTAGAAAATATGGAAAGTGAGCAATAAATAATATTTTTTACCACTGCTGTTCATTAACATTTCTCCATAAACGTGGTCTAGACAATCGTGAAAAGATCGAAGTATACATTTTCGAAAATCCACATACCTTTCGTCATTAAAATATGCAGTGCACGTATGTACATTCCTAATAGCGGGCATGTGAACGAAAGGGAATTAGAAGTTAAATTTGAAAGATCTCACGTACGATATGTTACTTATTATCCGTACCTTTAAGTAAGCCCATCCTGCTCTCGTTAGTTCAGCCGTGTACTTCGTGGGAAAGATCGTGGTAATGGCTTCCAGTATCCTCTGGGCCCAAATCCTTCGTTCCGCGATTCCCTTCGCATAAAACACGTGAACGCTCGGCCTTCCCTCGCAGCTAATTGCTATGCAATGTACTGTATCTCCATCAACAATCCTGAACATTTTAAATCGCTTTTGTGATTCCTCAGCGGTTCACTATACGACCTCGCCGTATGCAAATTTTTCCTACCATGCGCTTCGTCAATAAATGTTAACTTTCTCCGTTTCCATAATTATGTTATTATTATTATTTCTATTCGATTTTTAGTAAGACTTTCTTGTTAATACGCGAAACCCGCGATCTACTGATAAGTGTATACGAAACGAAAATATTGATAGAAGATGACACGATTCTTCGTCAAACATTTTACGTCATTTCAAGATAATAATTGAAAATAGAAATATTGATCGCGGTTTACAATTGGCCACGTATATATTTCGTTGGATCTGTTTTTAGCGATTAAAAATGTGACTCACTTGACGTCTTGCAAAAGATGAATGCTGTATATTGTGTCGAGGTGAACGACCTCCTTCAGAGTAGACATGCTCTTATCGGCGTAAAGCGAGAGCTTTCCGTCGGCTAAGAGCGCCGTCCTCGGCACCAGGTCCTTCGCCCTTTCTATGCCTACACCCGTTCTGTAAACGACACCTCGATACGTCGCGACTTTCTGCAGGACGTTCGCCTTCGGCCTTTCCAGTTTCGTCGATTTCGCGGTATTCGTAGCACTGCCACCGCCGTGGTCACGATTTCTGGACAACAGTTTACTACCGCTCTTCACGAAACTCATCACGTTCGGCCTGATCCCGTGCCCGCTGGACTCGTGCCTCAATTTTCTTAATTTCTGCATCATGCCCACCCGTCTGTGCTGTTCCTCTGTGACTTTCACGCCAGAAGCGTCCGCAGATTCGTCGGCGTTCGTCGTCGTCGCATTGCTCGAAGTACTCGATGCTAGAACGCACACGATGCGATATACACTTTACTATTAGACGGAGGAGATTCTGTATGAAAAATGAAATTTTGAAATATTGTGTCTCGTTTTTCATAACTTCTTTTATTCATCCTCTTCAGCTACGTTTCTCAGAATATCTGAAATAATATGACAAAAATAAAAGTACCTGCATCGTCATTGGTCTTGGCGGAAGAAGAAGGCTGAGGTGGTGTCTCATTGCCTTTTATCATCGACTTCCTAGGCGGAACAGCTGGTTGTCTTCTCGTCACTAGATGAGCCAGTTTCGGTAGCAGAGCAGGATTCTTCGTCGCAGCGCCCTTATCAGTTTGTGAAGAGGTTTCCGAGACTCCGTCGTACTCATTCTTGGGTAAAGAATCAAATCTCTTGGGTGGTTCCGGCGGCATTGACGAGACCGGCTCTTCGTCCTCCTCGTCCACGTCGTCCAACTCGTTATCAGCCATTTCCTGGAAGTCCAGGATGTTCCTAGAACTGCTCGGTGAGCTCGGGACACGCCTGGAACTGCTCGGCGAGTCGTTCGTGGCCAATAAAGCTTCCAATAACATCAGATCATTATTTTCGAAATTGCTGTACACGTTCTCGTCGGAGATTCTCACGAACGGATCGAATTCGATCAGCAAGGATCTGCTGGTCTGTTGCCTGGTCTCTGAATTATTCGACGTCGCTTCCTTTTCCTCTTGTTCCTTTTTGGGCGAAAGGTTCTCGTACAAAGAGTTCTGAATCGATGCTTGGCTCTCGTTGGACGCCGTCGACGTTTGTTCGAGAATAGCCATCTCCAGGATGTCCTCCTCCGTGCTCGATATCCTGTCGAGCTCGTCGACCCCTTCGGATCTCCCTACTGGCGTTGCGTCGTAGAAAGTCCAAGAATCGGATCTGGATAATCTCTTCACGTTATCCGATTTGTCATGCGGTAAACTCACGTTAACGTCCGAGAGATTTAAGCTCTGGTCGGAATCGTTGCTCTAACAAGAAACGGTCGGGGGTTTCCGATTACAAATTTTTTTCCTGTATTCCATTACCTAGCGAAATGTTAGTTACGATTTTCTTACTCTCATCTAACGCGTTGACAGAATTTTACCGTCGATTATTTCGAGCTCGTTTTACGATTTTAGCACGAAATACGAGTGAGAAATGTAATTTTAAATCTCATCGAAGAATTGAATTTCACGAATAGATTTCGTTCACGAATAAAAGATTTTCAAACAGACTAAATGTGTCTTTTCTCACCTGACTGAGCGCGAAATTGAGGAGATCGAACCCCTCGGGGAAATCCCTCTCGACTTTGTCAGAGATGGTCGAACTGATCGTGTCGTATCGACTGCTGCCAGACGTGACGGACTGCAATTCGTCGTAGATAGATTCGTCAGGATGCGGGGGCGGAGGATACGCGGGAGGTGGCGGGCTATGACGAGCCCCGGAAAGGTCCTCCTCGTTTCTGACGCTCCTCAGATTGCTGTTCAGAGGACTGTAAAACGAGATGCTACTGAAAATATCATCGGCCGGCATCGACGCGCATCTCTCGTCTTCCACCGGATCCTTCAACTTCTTATCAACGCCCGTATTGTTTCGTATAAGGTCGTCCTGATTCAAGACGGACAGTCGCCGCGTAAGTAGGTTCTTCACCGATTGTTCCAATCTTATGCTAGCGTTTCTCGTGCTCGAGATCACCGATCGACCTTTCATCGTCATCTTCTCCGAGATCTCGTCCTTCAGCTGACGAGAACTGGCGCTCAGGCTGCGGAAGAATTCGATGTTCGTGCCGCGCGTTTCCGATTTCGCATCGTCGCTTCTATCTGATTGACTGGAATCGCTCTGCGTGCTCTGAGTGCTATGAGTGCTGTGAGTGCTGTACCGGGAAGCTGGTAACGACGGGGGCAATCTCCTCGGCGCTGGTACCGGACGCTCGGGCAGCACCGATCTAGGTTTTGGTATCGGTTTCTCCTCCATTTCGAATGGCCACTTCTCTGTCTCGCCGCTCGATTTTAACCGAAGGGTCCAGGACCGTAGGATCTGCGCCACATACTTCGGTCCCCTTAAATTGACACCGTTTACGCGTTTACTTTCGAATAGGCTCACTTCAGATATCGTCGTTACGGTGAGTATATGAATTCAGTAACGTTCTGTGTTAAGTTAAGTAAGAGTGAGTAAAAAAAATAATGAACGTTCGGATTATACGCATGACGACGAAAGCGTTATAGTCTACTATTCGAATATTAGGTAAACTGTGTCAGACAAAAGTCGAGATATAAAATGAGCCACGTGCAGCAAGAAAATCTAACATAAATAGAAAATAAAATTCTGGTTGAAAGAACGTTTCATTACTTAGTAAAGTACAGTGGTTGTATGTACCATCACGGAGCAGTGAAAGTGCGCTGTACTTATCAAACAAACAGAATTTATTCTCGATCTTGCAACACGCGTGTGCGAGCCTGGCATCTGTTCTCATGTCGCACCGACACAAATGCGAATAGAAAATATTTAAAAAAAAAATTCTTCATGCAGTTGATAATTGAAGAGTGAATGGAAATTGTTAGTGGGTAAACGAGAAGCAAACGAGGTGTGTAAAAACGTTGCGGTTGACGTGATGTTGCGTTCGAAACGCTCGTCGGAATGTGACAATGTGACTGCGTAGTCGAGGCCTCGAGATAAAATCATGAACAAACGCACAATTGTAGAAAACGATAATAATATAATCAATGGAGCGTACGTCGCAAGTTCCAAAGACGATTCCTCATTCTCGTAATCCCGGCGAGGTCTGGAACACTGACTCGAACAACTATCAACGTTCACTCCGTGCATTCTACCAGCGATAGGTAGCTACTCAGATAATAAAGACAGCTCAGCGCGAAGCACTTCTGCACGGTTGAATCACCGCTTCCGAGTCACGTGATTAGCATTGAGCGCTCGGGACAAATCATGCTTTATAATTTCGATTGATCTTGATTATCAGCTTACGCGAACGTCTCTCATCTGGAGTTTGAAAATACGCGCCCGATTAAATTTCATATAAGATTTTCAAACAGACTAAATGTGTCTTTTCTCACCTGACTGAGCGCGAAATTGAGGAGATCGAACCCCTCGGGGAAATCCCTCTCGACTTTGTCAGAGATGGTCGAACTGATCGTGTCGTATCGACTGCTGCCAGACGTGACGGACTGCAATTCGTCGTAGATAGATTCGTCAGGATGCGGGGGCGGAGGATACGCGGGAGGTGGCGGGCTATGACGAGCCCCGGAAAGGTCCTCCTCGTTTCTGACGCTCCTCAGATTGCTGTTCAGAGGACTGTAAAACGAGATGCTACTGAAAATATCATCGGCCGGCATCGACGCGCATCTCTCGTCTTCCACCGGATCCTTCAACTTCTTATCAACGCCCGTATTGTTTCGTATAAGGTCGTCCTGATTCAAGACGGACAGTCGCCGCGTAAGTAGGTTCTTCACCGATTGTTCCAATCTTATGCTAGCGTTTCTCGTGCTCGAGATCACCGATCGACCTTTCATCGTCATCTTCTCCGAGATCTCGTCCTTCAGCTGACGAGAACTGGCGCTCAGGCTGCGGAAGAATTCGATGTTCGTGCCGCGCGTTTCCGATTTCGCATCGTCGCTTCTATCTGATTGACTGGAATCGCTCTGCGTGCTCTGAGTGCTATGAGTGCTGTGAGTGCTGTACCGGGAAGCTGGTAACGACGGGGGCAATCTCCTCGGCGCTGGTACCGGACGCTCGGGCAGCACCGATCTAGGTTTTGGTATCGGTTTCTCCTCCATTTCGAATGGCCACTTCTCTGTCTCGCCGCTCGATTTTAACCGAAGGGTCCAGGACCGTAGGATCTGCGCCACATACTTCGGTCCCCTTAAATTGACACCGTTTACGCGTTTACTTTCGAATAGGCTCACTTCAGATATCGTCGTTACGGTGAGTATATGAATTCAGTAACGTTCTGTGTTAAGTTAAGTAAGAGTGAGTAAAAAAAATAATGAACGTTCGGATTATACGCATGACGACGAAAGCGTTATAGTCTACTATTCGAATATTAGGTAAACTGTGTCAGACAAAAGTCGAGATATAAAATGAGCCACGTGCAGCAAGAAAATCTAACATAAATAGAAAATAAAATTCTGGTTGAAAGAACGTTTCATTACTTAGTAAAGTACAGTGGTTGTATGTACCATCACGGAGCAGTGAAAGTGCGCTGTACTTATCAAACAAACAGAATTTATTCTCGATCTTGCAACACGCGTGTGCGAGCCTGGCATCTGTTCTCATGTCGCACCGACACAAATGCGAATAGAAAATATTTAAAAAAAAAATTCTTCATGCAGTTGATAATTGAAGAGTGAATGGAAATTGTTAGTGGGTAAACGAGAAGCAAACGAGGTGTGTAAAAACGTTGCGGTTGACGTGATGTTGCGTTCGAAACGCTCGTCGGAATGTGACAATGTGACTGCGTAGTCGAGGCCTCGAGATAAAATCATGAACAAACGCACAATTGTAGAAAACGATAATAATATAATCAATGGAGCGTACGTCGCAAGTTCCAAAGACGATTCCTCATTCTCGTAATCCCGGCGAGGTCTGGAACACTGACTCGAACAACTATCAACGTTCACTCCGTGCATTCTACCAGCGATAGGTAGCTACTCAGATAATAAAGACAGCTCAGCGCGAAGCACTTCTGCACGGTTGAATCACCGCTTCCGAGTCACGTGATTAGCATTGAGCGCTCGGGACAAATCATGCTTTATAATTTCGATTGATCTTGATTATCAGCTTACGCGAACGTCTCTCATCTGGAGTTTGAAAATACGCGCCCGATTAAATTTCATACATAATTATTAATAATTTCGCCTCTTTTCGCTAGTTTACTTTACATTGTTAACAGTTCAGTAGTTCCAAAAACTGATCAATTCAAATTCTTTGTTTGTTATTAAATTTAATAGTATTTTTAATAATATTAAGTTTAATAGAAATAACAAAATGCCTATCAGCATAGAACTGGTTCTGCAATTCTAACGTATCTACATAGGAAGATCAGTCATTTATCAGGTGGCCAACAATTACAGCAGACAATTAAACCCATTATAATTTTCGCGGTAGTACATTTATTTTAAAGGAACAATGATTCATACTCGACAATTGAATGAAACGAGCACATGTGCATTTACTAGAGAACGATTTAAAATTCCTTCAGAAGCATCGATCATAAGAAATTCTGATTACGTTCAATGCATGATTGATGCCTAATCTAGAACTAGAGTGTATATAATTAATGAGACGCGGTGAAAAAAGTAATGAATGATCAACGACGTTTTGTACAGTGAGTCACTGTTGCGAAATCCGATACAGCATGCATCGTGTTTCCGGTTTTTGCACTAACCGACGGCTACGTCACGTTCACGTTTCCATGCTTTCTCGGTTCCGATCCAGGGCTCGCATCGGCCGGAGCGGAGCGCGGAGTTCCATGTTTTTTCTCGCCGTTAAACAAAGAAGAGCGGGATTCGTTGTTCCCTCAGCCTCGTAACGTGAATCATACAGAGCTGCGACAGCAGAACCATCGGTGTTTCTAAAATTAACTGATAGCCCCGCGCTGCAAATAATAAGCGTTCCCTCGTTATCCTCCAGACGCCCGGAACTTCCTTTCTGCTATCGTTCATAATAACCAAATATGTACTCGTTCGCTAAAATCGTCGCGATCGAAGGAATCAGTTTAAGGATAAAAAATTCATTTCTCTGGTGTTCCACATTTTCAGAGTGATATCCATTGTTAATTCGACTGCGTTGTATAAAATAAAGATTTAGATATTTCCGAGTGCTTTTTTTGACAAGTAGAACTGATTTTCCTTCGTGTAAAATCTTTTTCAATTCTGACTTGGCTGTTTCACCTTGCGATCGCGTAGTAATTATTAACATTTGAATTTATAATGCGATAGTGACAAATGATTTGACGCACAATGGTTTCTTTCATCCGAATATTAATGTTGATCGAGAGCATTTTAGATAACACCATCTTGGTAGCGTTCATCGAAAGGCTCACCACGAGTGTACATATGTACATGCAAAAATACACGCAACGCGTACAAGTCAATAATAAAGGAGCTCCTATTACGTACTTCAATCAACCGGCTGGCACACTTGGCAATCGTTCATACGGTGGCAAATATTTTTCAAAATATCAACGGGCTCTCGTGTCGTTTACAGATCCAACGTAACGTGTAATAGTACGTTGACGTGAAAATTATTGTTTACGCTTCGAACAGTATCGCTTCTTTTACCATGAATCTATTAAAAAATTATAATAGAAAGAAAGTTGACTTAATTCATTGATCGTATTTGATGAATTCATGACTTTCCAAAGCTTATTTCTTTTTACTTACTACATTTTATTAATTTTTAATTACTACATTATTAGTATAAAGTGATAATTTAATAAAATAATTTAACGAGATATTTCGTCGAGTTTAGGGACTCGAATTTGCCGAGTCTTCTACCTTTCCATGATGCTATTCACCATGAATTTATAAAAAAAAATCTACCTGTTTCTACATATGCAAGCAAGTTGCTCGACTGGTATTTATTTTTTCGATTATCACGTGGCAAGGTTACCGTTTCGTGCCGAGCACGGTCTCCGTTATCTCGCATGTATATTCTTTAAAAGGTCAATGCTTCGTGTCAAGTTATTTGTCATCTGAAGACTCCGCGATTGTCACACGAGCGAATCTACCTGTTGATCGGACTTTCGCCGATCGGAGTTAAGAATTTAATTTAGAAATCGTAGATCGCCGAGGATAGAACGATGAACGCGCGACTCACTTTGAAACGCATCCAATTGTACGTATCGATTCCGGGACGATTCGAGCGTGTAGGACGCGGTTCGATTCCGGAGAACGCCGTTTTCAGTAGAAATGAAATCGTCCGATGCCAGCTGGGGTCATAGACCCATCTGATCCTGATCGATGGTCGTTGCCACTGTCATGATCTCACTCCGCGCCTCCTCTCGTCCCTCCACTTTCGAAAAGGTGCACACTGCCCTTGCACACACACACGCGCGCTCCAACACTTAAATAAATTGGATACACGCACGCGAACAGAGACGAACACTGACGAGCGAGTCGACGTTGAACGCGCGCACACGCGGCAGCGAATCTCACACTTTACGATCCAGCTCCTCTCCTTTCTCTCCGACGTTCTTCCACATCTCTCGTTCACCGTTCTGGCCACCAATTCCAATCGGAGTCGCGGATTGCACCACGAAAGACAATCGACATTGCTTTTCTCTATTTATACAATGATAGGATCAATCGCGATAAGATAAAAGAACAAAAACACATTCACCTGAATGCTTCGGCACCGCTGCTGGTACCGACCGCACTAACCTTCTGTTTCGAAGCTTACGCCTACGCGAGACGCGAGCTATCGTTCTCGCTCGTTCTACCCGTCCCTACTACCGTCGCATTCGCCTCTCTCGATACCCGACTCCCCTACTCCGTTGGAGTTCGTACCCCAGATATCCACGTATAGATACAATACTTATATGTATGATACACTAAACGTAGTAATTCAGTAGATGCCATTAAGTCATATAACAAGTTTCAGACTTAGATGTTTTATTAATTCAATTTGGAAGAATTATAAAAAATAAGTTAAACCAGAAATACTTTTCCATAATTATAATTCCTTTATATTCATAAGAAATCATATACAAACTTTATATAAAAGGAAGGTAATTACTTTTTTTTATTTAAACACGCGCGATAAAAAATAATTGAATGTTTTTCTCTTGGCTTCTCTTATATATTTTGTTATACGAAAATTCAGAGCGCCCGGCTGATCATAAGGGCTATTAAATGAGTCATACAATTGACATCCCCCACCAGCTAGTCGACAATTTTTATCAAGCATAATCAAACCCTGTTGTATACACCAACAGTAGAGAGAGAACAGTTCTGCTTCGAACACGATCGTAATCATTCACATGTTCGT